ATATAATAGTGCACGGGGATGAGGTACTTATGCCCCTTTGAAATTTTTCAAGCTTCTAAAGCCCTTCTTGAGCTTTTATTTAATTTGCGAGTCGAACAGCAGAACAATAACCTTAACAAGCCAGTTCGACTTGCCGAAGCTGATAACATTACTAAATCAATTTTGGTTTCAATGCTTGGGCGTGACTGAACGGTGCGTTGTCGAATATGGGTTCTTTTCCGTTATCCGGGAACAGATAAATATTCGACCGCGCTCGCTGGGCAAGAATTTTCACAACAGTGTTAGTAATCATTCGAAAGCTCAAGTCTCTGGCTACAAAAGACCTTTTTATAACGCTGTGAAATTCAATAAATTCTACTATTCGGCCCGGAATATGTGGAAAAATTTTACTATATCAGAGTCATACGTTTGATGTGGAGTTTCTTACAAAGGGAGAAAAAATTTTCAATTGAATGACAAAAATCGCACTTCACATAAGCTCAATGCGGAACTTGATCTTACTTTCCCTGTTAAAATGCGTTGGTATCACTGCAGAAATGCGGTCTTTCCAGAAGATAAGCACAGCGTTCAAAATCTTCATATCTTACGCTATCGAACGATCTAGTTAGTCTAAAGAAAGAACTCTGTCTTGCAAGAACACGTATGTGAAAGACAAATGTTTTCCTCTGGCGTAGCGTAATAAAAGGTGTTAATATCGGCGTGAGATTGATAGACGACGTTGTTGTTGTTGTCGTCAGTCGCCGATGATTCCGAGTCGGATGGAGGTATGTAGACTTTCAATTAGAAACTCTTTCTAGACGATGGGCAGTGATTAATAGACCTAAAATCAATTAAGCACGACGGACTGAGTTTTCATTATTAGAGAAAATCTCTGGTCACTGCACGGCAGGGGAAGCAAGCCAACTGAGTGAAAGGGCTTAGGAACTACTTCCTCGACACGATCTACTTTTATATCCATAGCTTATCCACACTATTATTCACATCACCACTACATCCACATACCGTGGACCCTGTCTATCAGCCCTCACTGCACTTCGTTTGTCCTTCCTCACTATTGCAATTGTCATCCATTCATCATCCACGACGACAGCAAGTGGCCAGCTATTCTTTGTGAAAAATGACGTAACTATCAGCAATAGAAATAGGAACTCGTACAGTAAAGACTAATTCATTCGCATTACATTGTATTCATTAGTTTTTCCCTATTTTTTCATACCTGATTTGGAAGTTAACTATAGCCAATATAAGTGAATCCGATCTTTAGAATTGGTAAACCATTTATTATATTTATCTTAAGGCTTTCTATCTTTGTTGTTTTTGTTTCGTGGTGAATATTTGTATTGTCCAAATACGTTTTTGAGCGATAACACAAATTTCAGACGCCTTCATCAGCTCGAAGTGATCGATGTGATGCTTATCAAGGCGCTAACCTTTTTTTTTCAAATTCCTTCGCGAGGCTTATAACCTTGCACAATCATGCCAATTTGTTCAAACAAAAATTGTACCGAGATTAGGAAAAAAATCTATATGTTGATATTAGAATTTCTTTATGAACGTTTTCTTGCATTAAGTCTAGTTGGAAATCTAGTGAAGTACTTTTTGTATATATTTTTTAGCAAAAAAAGAAGACGAAGAAAAAAATGCTGCGATTACGGTCATTCGCTAAGTCATCACTATTTCAGCATCGCTATGCCCAAAAGGCTTTCAATGAAACCGTACCGCTTAGCCGACATTTTGTCAAAATACTGTTATATTTATCGTTTATGGAGTAAAAGCTAGGCTAGTAAATTAAAAGCGGAAAGTTAGGATTTTGAAAGTTCCATTCTATCCGTCTTCAAATTTTCTACTGATTTACAGCCTCATTTTTTTTCTACTCATCAAACTATGGTGCACAACTATTCCCTCATAGCTCTGCTAGGCTCACCTAATCTGGGAAAAGTCCTGTGTTTCCAACAAGAAGTCTGACTAGGAACAAATCTATACCAGAAATCATCGCTGTCATAGAAGAAAGTTCATCACTTGAAGGCAAACGCCCGTCTCCGATATGTAGAGATTGGGCTGTCTCTGTGGTGATGGATAGCGCTTCACTTAGTGTATCTTGGGAATCGCAGAAAAGATAAATAAGTAGTGAAGCCAGTTTTAAGCTAGCTTCAAGGGTCCACATGTTGCTTACTCTTTCTACGAATTCGTTGGCAAAGAATGACTTCATTTGCTAAACATATTATCTGCCAGATTGGGTTCATGTCTATGTTCACCAGATCTGATTGACCGACATAGCACATTACATGTAGTCTGTGAGGTTAATTGACCTGGATGATGATCGAACCTACATCATCGTACACCTCAACAGCGTCAAATCTTCTTCATGGCTACGCTTACATCACTCCGATTCAATAGGATGCCCATACTATTTAAAGAGAAAAGCGACTCGACACGACAACAAACCCCATTCCGTCTCTACAGAAGACGAGACGACGTTTCTTACCAACCTAGCCTTAACTCAGTAGTCCAAAAACAAAATACAGAATATATCCAGTAATGTTGCTGATTGGCAAAACTTTGAACTTCGGTTGGGAATTGAACTCGCGTCTCACATTTTTTCCAGAGGCGTATCGCAGCAAGAGTGATAGCAGATTATAGCCCCGGTGATGCAATGGTTAGCACTCACCCTCGTAAATGGTAACACGCTGGTTCGACACCTGCCCAAGGTCCACAGTTTCTATAACGCCCAACATTATTGGATATTCAGGTTGTAATATCATATCACTGCTAAAAAGTTGCTTAATAAAACATTCTTGCCAATTACAAAGTGTAGAATATAGCACATATGAGCTGTGATGTCGCGATGAAGCTAATAATTACTTCTACTTCTAATTTCATTCCATTGATCAGTTTTCACATTGCTTTTTACCGTGCCGATCTTAGTCTTTTAGTATCCAGTTCGATTTTTCCTTGTCTTCTTCATGAACGTCGTAGAATGCTGGTTGAGCACGTCTGCTGGTAATTCTCGAGGATAGCCAGGCTGGGCGGTCCAAAGAGCGCTGGCTGTTGACTGCCGGAGAGTGGTGTGGAGTGAGGATTAGCCCGGCGCCACGCCGCGGCGTGCCTCACCATGACTCGGCCACGCCCCTTCCTCTTACTTCCGGTGGAGCTAGTCAATTTGAAGCCTAGCTTTGCAGTTGTCATCAATGACTCCAAGGATGTTGAGATAGAGTAAGACCCGGAGAGTTGCAGAGGGATAGTATCAGTGGGTAAGAGGCTAGCAGAACGTAAGGACGTTGATGGCATGGTGGCTAACTCGTGGGTCTCCACAAGCGTGCGCCCTGGTTTGAAGCCCCAACGTAAACTCCACCGAGTTCTGCTCGTATCTAAGTATTTTTGTGATTAAGATTTCACATCCATCCAACCGCTACTAAAACTATAAGGCCTGTATATGAAAACTAAACATAGCCATCATGAGGTCATCGACGCGTATCGATTGTTTCATTTTGATCTATGGGCGGTCCGATGGGCGCGGCCGCCGCGGTCGGCGCCGCTTTGAAGTGCTCCGCAGCCCTCGTGCCGACCTCGACGATCGATGTTGGCGTGTTCCGTCGTTCCGGGTGATTCCAAGATGTATCGTATCGATTTTCGATAGTGATCCACCTATTTCGAAAGATTCTCAATTGCGTGTTATCGATTGTCAATAGCGATCTACCTGTTGCGGGAAATTCTCAACGGCGTCCTATCGATTTTGGTGATCTGCCCATTTATCACTCAGTGAATCACACCTCGCTGACTAATCGATAAATGAATGACTTAATGTTTTCGCTCATTTAGTGAAACGATGACGTAGGAGGAGAGTAGTTCGTTTCAGTCATAATAATTCAGATAATTTCATTTTTCATATTTATTGATTAATTAATTTGTTCTCTATTACATTTGAAACAGCCGTCGTCATCTTTGTGAAGACGTTTTCCCCGATCTCTTCCTTATTTTCTCCCCCGTTCCGGAGCGTTTCGGGCTGAAAGTTTCCCTTTTTTTTCGTATTTCTCCTTCCATACAGATTTTGGCAAGCCTCAATGCGATTTATCAATATTCGTTAGGAAACGCCAGTAATCTGTACCTAAGAGAACTGAGTGGTGAGCAAAAATTCGACCTCAACCGGAAGTTGAACCCGTGTTTCACCCAAGCTGGCAGAGCGCGCTAGCACCACACCATTGAGGTCAGCCGAACTGGGTTTATAGAACGATGTTGCTTACCCGACCAGACCTGTTAGTGGTTGTTGATTGATAACTATGACACAGAGAAATACTGAAGAATGAGTGCTAGGTTAGCGGTGGCCATAGGTGGTGTAGTGGTAGTACGCGCAACGGGCACGGCGAAATGCGGGTTCAGCTCCCTGCTGAGGTCGAATTTTTGCTTCCCACTCAATTGTTTTAGGTGTATTTGAAACATCATCGCACTGCAAAAAAAGCAGTAGAAAAATATATATTAACTCAATAATCTGTATTTTAAGGATCAACTTCTCTTCGTGTTCGACACTTTTAATCAGTAATAATTTCTTTTGTAACTCAGCTGCTTTCACGCGATTGATGAATATGATCTACCAGGTTGAAATCTCGACGTCCTTTTCTTCTTCAGAACCGACAGTTTGCGTCGAATGACCACAGTCGTTCGCCTCGAATCATCAGTTCTGAAGAAGACGAAGACGTCAAAACGTCGGTCGAATAAGGCTAATTTAATAAAAAATTCCATTGAGATTCCTGCCCAACCACTTTCTTCATCGACGATATGGTATTGAAAATATGCCCAATAATGTTGAGTGATGTGCAAATAACCCGACATCAGACGAGAATTGAACCCGCATCTCACGCTTTCCGTGCTAACCGATTGCTCTATCGACGCCAGTTTGGCCACCACTCTTTCTACGCTACGAAGTGTCATAGGTCAAACCGTTGACGATTGATTGCTAACAGATTGATGAGCTGAAGGCCGTAGAAAGAGTGGTGGGAAAACAGGCGTCGGTAGTGCAACTGGTTGCAGCGCAGGGCCTCAGAAAGGGTGAAATGCGGGTTCGAGTCCCGCTTGACGTCAAAGTTTTTGCACCTCACTCAACGTCATTGGGTTAAAATCAAAAGTTGTGTATTTATTAATGTGATCCTTATTGACCAAGTCATTGATACGGAGTTTCCATATAATAAAGCTTTCTCGACTGACTTCTATCGATTTCGTGCGGCTGACTCATCAACAAAGAATATAAGATTATTGATTAGTAGTTACCGAAATCGATAAAGAAGAAAATCGATGTGCTAGATTGTGGTGTTTTTCAGTATCTCACAGAGCCATTCATCCGATGAGTGGAGTGGTTTGATCTATTGTCTAAAATCTGGACTCGGTGTTTTCATCCTCGTCCTCATCATCGCCGCCGTCGTCGTCGTCACTGTTCGGGGAGGAGGATCGTACCACCGTTGTCCTCCATTGTCCAGTGGAATGTATTCATCGATTCCATGGTTATTACTAACATTTCTATCTACTTCAGTCGAGGTATGGATTATACCACCACATTTTCAATATCCCGCTTCAAAACAAAGGTGTAAAAACCCCTTAGAATTCCTTTATTCTAGAGAAATCCTTTCTATTTACTGCTTTTAGCAGTGTTTTTTGATGTACAAATGAAACGTCTGAGACTACTGAGTGCTATGCAAACCGCACCCGACCGCAAGCGGGGTCAGAACCTGCGTTTTACTCGTACTGGTGGCTCGTGTTACCACTACACCATAGAGACCACCGCTTTGCCCATGACGATGGGTGAAACGCGAGTTCAGGTCCCGTCTGAGGTCGAAGGTTTTGCATAACACTCAATGCTTCTGATTCGATGCTCTGTCTTTATGTATCTACCCAGATGAACTATCTTCCCGCACCACACAAACGGTAGTGTTACTAGACTGTTCCATAAGTTTTGACATTAAGTAGTAAAAACTGAATTTATAAACCGGAAGTAATCTAATTTGCATGGTTTTCGTATCGTTCGGATGCTTATTTTCTTGCGAACAACACGCTCATAATTGCTTCAGGATGGAGCTATCGTGGGAGAAAATTCGCTTACTATCAGTGCACGAATGGCGCTTAGGGGAACTATGCTAGTCAAGCGGTGCGCAAGATTAATGAAGCTTAGCGCGATGGTACGGTCGCAGAAAGGACTAGGGAGTGGTTCGCGATGTTCGAAGCTGGAGAGAAGCAGTCTGGAAGATCAAAGTCGCGCTCAGGCCGTCCACAGGAAGCTTCATAAATGTTGCGCGTCGCTTCATTAGCATTTACTCCTGCGCGCCATTCGTGCATGATCAGCAAGAAGAGCTGTTCCCCAAGGCAACTCCATTTCTAGAGCAGGTGTTGACAAGTTATAGACCAAGATGTTTGTTAGAAAATGGATATCGAACGATATCAAAATTATGCAAATTGAACCATTCTAGTTGATAAATTTAGGTTTATTGCTTTAGTGCCAGGACCTATGGAGCGAGTTAATAAGGTCAGTGCTGTGTAATGCCCCTGACACAAGTGAGCCTCTCGAAATGTTCGCCAGATACGAGATGAATTCTGTTCTTATTTCTCTATTGAGGCGAAGTCTCGAAGGGCACCAACTGACTACGCTACAAGCTATGTGTTTATGACAGTGAAGAACATCGAAACAAATGAAGAGATTCGATTATGTGCGAATTATCTTCAGTACAAAATAAAACGAATCGCTACGGATGCTGAAAGCGCGGTGAGGTTTTTTCCCCCTTGTCTTTATTCAGTTACTCTTTATTTTAGTCATGTTTTTATTCAGGTACTTTCCAATGCAGTTATAATAGGATTTCATAAATAATCATGATCGAGTGATCGATCAATTTCAATCGAATAACGATGAGAATCATAGTAACAATAATAGATCAATAATCCAAGTGAAATAACTTCCTAATCAAATTTTATGGTTCTGTGAGTCATTTCAACAACATTTATACGTCTTCGTCTACTATTCTCGATTTGTCGTATTAACTTATAATCAGTAGCTCTAAAGTATTCGATAGGTCGCATGTGGCGTAGTGGTGAAAGGTGCGCTATCAAAACACTCACGTGGTCGATTCTCGCGTCCAAAGCTCACCAGGCCTTTTGTCCCTCCGTGGCTAATGATTTTAACCAGATTTACGGATAGCAGCGCTGATTTGATGCATCGGTGAGCCACCGTGAGTTATTGGAACGGCCAGATATGTATTCAGTCACCGCCAACGTTTCTTGATGGCATGGCACAGCCATCAGGAACTGATCATTACCGAGGTCCTTTTTGTCGTGTACATAGTATCAGGTTGGAGAGAAAGTTCTGGGGCACTCGTGAAAAAAACGAAAATTTCTGCATAAATACCAAACAAAAACAGTAATGGTTTTTCTAAAGGCAATTTCTTCGAGTTTGAATCAACGAATTCTTGACATGCTTCATCGATTTCATCGAATGATTCAAATCGGCGACCCTTACTCCTCCTCCTCTGTCAATAAGGCATTGACTTCGTTGTTCATCGACTGCAGCTTGCTGTGAACGACTCGTTCTTCGATAATGGCGCAAAAAACGCGGACTTCAATTGTATCGTTGGGCATGGCGGAGGCTTGTAACAATGCGAAAATGAAAGAGGAATAATTCTAAAAAAGAATGTTTGAAGCCTAAACGAGGTTGGTACGCCAGGGCCATACACCGGTGTTTCGGAGGTTTTGGCCTCCTCGTCAGTGACCCCCGCTCCACATTAAGCCCTGCATTGAAGAAAGGAGGGAGGCGTACGTGGTGATGGCATAGTATACAATGACACTGGTCCATCACCACTTTCAGCCGATGGATTTCGGCTGGTAGATCATAATTAATCCATAAGATCGACTGTTTTCAAAAAGCCCCAGAAGTTGGTTTGGAACCCTAGTTCTCGCTGAAAGCCGTCGATGGGAATGACCAGGAAGCTCATTTAGAGGAAATACGTCGAGGAACAAGTATCAGTGCAAACATAAAAGTGCAATTAAACAGGGAAGTCAGAGCTTTTGGCTCATAAACAACTCCATTTTGAGAGTGTTATAGGAGTGTGCGGATCCTATTATGCGTTCCATCGACGCTATCCTATGTTTTTTAGTAGATATGACGGTGAATTGATGTGTTTTGGTTAGCGTTCACTTCCATTATGCATTTATGGGAACCAAACAGTGAATCATTGCAATGAATTCATGGAAAGTCCGGCAAAATATGTTGTTCAGATTTGACGTAATTGATTTATTATTATCTATTTACACCACGAAAGCGATGGAAGAAAGATATGATGCTCAGCGAATTCCTAGAGCGAGGAGGACCCACTGGGCTACTCTTGCACGCGATAGGGAAAAATGGAAGAGTTGCTGGTACCCGCTCGAGTCACTCGACGATCAACGGGACGACAGGTGATACAGGTGATTTACACCACCCGTGACCACAGTTTATTGCGGAGAACGCAACAGTCCCAGGGATACGATCCGTTTCCTCTCATATCGCATCCTCCGCGAAGGTCTTAAAACATTTCAAGTGTTGCTTCGTTAGCTGCTTGAGGATCTCGTCTTCTTCATGAATGTGGTGGAATGCTGGTCGAGACGATTCTCTTCGCTAATGATTCAATCGTGAAGGTAGCCGAGCTAAGGCGTTCTTGAGGGCGTTTGTTGATTGAGTAGAAGAGAGTCTTGGGAGAAGGGATCTAACAATCGTGAATAGCTTCGCTAACCACCATCTTACCTTTCCTTCACATATGAGGAGATCGAAATTTATTCATAGTAGCCACTATAAATGATTTTTTCTAATTTAATTTCATTTCGAAATTATAGTTTTTCTACTGCTTATTTCGCAGTGTTATGATGCTACGTATATAACTTAGAGAATGTACAAAAATGAATGAGTTGTCGGGCAAATGTGCCTCGGTGGTGTAGTGGTAGAGCACGCGTCCCGGATACGATGAAACGCGGGTTCGATTCCCGCCTGAGGCCTTGTTTTTGCTCACCAGTCAATTCTCTAAGTTCATTTCTTTTATTTTTTCATCAAAAGACAGCATAACTTTGACACCTTACTAATACCTGGAAATGTTGTACTCATGAAAATTGTACTTGGTTAGTTATATTCTATGATGCTAAGTGATATGCAAAACTTTTAACCCCAGTCGGGAGTTGAACCCGCGTTTCACCCGTACGGCACTGCACCACCGAAGCCCTTGCTCTACTCTATTATCAGTCTTTCTTTGATATAACACGTAGGAATTATCAGAAAACGATTAGTTTGAGAAAACTATTCTAAGCAATCTAGCATGATGGATATAACATGGATTATTTATTGTAATTAGTTATAATATTTCCAAACTACTACCTTTGTATTTGAGTACTTTTTTTGACCGAAAAATATTGGAAATTGATAGAATTGCCAACTCTTTATAGCTGGATAGCTTTTCTTCTTTTTCATCAGTCTTTGTCGTCTATATTTTCCAATATTCTTAATGTTTTTTTTTCTCACATAACATCGTCATATAACTATCGAAAAGAAATTAGAAGCTTTTTTCTCTAATAATGCTATCTTTGTATTCAGCAGCCTGTTGGTTTATCGTTTTGGCGCAATCGTTTCAATGAGACACGGGTTTGCCCGTTACCGTCTGGCCCTGAAAAAGAGCTACGATATAACGGGACAGCTGTGCCATTATTGTATCGAATCGACGACGATGGTACATCGTGTACCCGAAATTTCACTGACGGCGCGTCGGGTTTTCGTAATGCGAGTCAATTCCAGGTGCGTTCGAGTTTGTTCAGTATGTTTTTTCCGTGCGATTATGGGGTTAATAACAGATCGTAATGTTATAGCCTTTCTGGTTTATTAGGGCAGATCGTAGACTATCCGAACGTGAAAAATGTTGGGCGACTATAATCGTCGGCTAGCAGAATGTGGTATATGTGTCAAAGGAATATATCACAGTTTTTTCGGTTCCTCTCGGTTGTAAGGGGATAAATGAAAAACCGACCTCATTCGCTGGAGAAGAAGTTTTCATAGGAGTATTAGTAATCATTCGAAAGCTGAGACT